CCCTAATGATGGAGGCAGCAAGTACATCTGAAACGTCGGTAAACATCTACTGTATTACACGATCCTACAACCCAGGAGACAGCCATCTTTGGACTCAGAGACGTGAAAACCTGAAATTCTGAATGGAAGATCAAATACCAAACCTCCAGGTTATGCAAAATATAGACCGTAGTTTGTGGGACGCTGGATTAACTTCAACCGAGAGGCTGAGAAAGGTGAGCTTCTGAAGGGTTTTATTAATTATCAAGATCGCTGTATGGTATGGGACTTATGATAGGCAACTTCAAGTGGAAGCAGTGCCTTGTAGGTCTGTCTGTCTGTCTTAGCGCAACAGAACTCCGCTCATCAGCCGCCATGTACAAATATTGGTATGCAGGCAATTTTAAGTTTTTATTGCACTAGTATAAACAAGCATTTCCAGGTTTTCCTTGTCGGACAAAGGGCAACTGTTGTATCTGTTAGCCATACTGCTTCAGTTGAAGAATGTATATCTTTTTTGTCCTTAGTCATAAAACCGTAGGTTTAAAGTGGAACGAGAGATTTGGCATGTTACTTTCTGCTTCAACAGCACCTTCTTTCTCACAGGTAACAACTATTGGGACCCTTTTCCAAGGATCCGTAGAGCATTTATTGGTGGGCTTCCGTGAACTTGATTTTTATAGCTCCAATAATGTTGAAACTTTTTTTTTTTGCACTTTTCTTTTACTAAGGGCCTGCTTCACCAAGAACTGGAAGCGACATGTTTATCTTGTACATAAGAATTCCCCACAGATTGCAAATAAGATATTTCCGCTGTCTTCCTTAACTTTTCTTCGCGACCAGGAGGTCCAATCCCATTTCTAAGGACGTGATATATTATGTTCTGTTTGTGATATTCCTGGTTCTCACGGAGGCGAATATTGGGTCGCCCTGATGACGGAGGCAGTATGACCTCTGAAACATTGGTTAACATCGACCAGACTACACAGCGCAACAACCCAGAAGACGGAAATCTTCATACTCATCGCCCTGATGATGGAGGCAGTATGACCTCTGAAACATTGGTTAACATCGACCAGACTACACAGCGCAACAACCCAGAAGACGGAAATCTTCATACTCATCGCCCTGATGATGGAGGCAGTATGACCTCTGAAACATTGGTTAACATCGACCAGACTACACAGCGCAACAACCCAGAAGACGGAAATCTTCATACTCATCGCCCTGATGATGGAGGCAGTATGACCTCTGAAACATTGGTTAACATCGACCAGACTACACAGCGCAACAACCCAGAAGACGGAAATCTTCATACTCATCGCCCTGATGATGGAGGCAGTATGACCTCTGAAACATTGGTTAACATCGACCAGACTACACAGCGCAACAACCCAGAAGACGGAAATCTTCATACTCATCGCCCTGATGATGGAGGCAGTATGACCTCTGAAACATTGGTTAACATCGACCAGACTACACAGCGCAACAACCCAGAAGACGGAAATCTTCATACTCATCGCCCTGATGATGGAGGCAGTATGACCTCTGAAACATTGGTTAACATCGACCAGACTACACAGCGCAACAACCCAGAAGACGGAAATCTTCATACTCATCGCCCTGATGATGGAGGCAGTATGACCTCTGAAACATTGGTTAACATCGACCAGACTACACAGCGCAACAACCCAGAAGACAGAAATCTTCATACTCAAAGATGTGAAAACCTCAAATCTTACATTCAATAAACTTGTTTCATCCACGCCTTTGATTCGGTGAAACGCGTTTCGATAACAATGAAGGAATGCGAACACAGGTCTTAAAATATTGAGAAACCCTGAGATAAACTCTTGAGAAACAGTAATTGCCAGACGCAACGCAACTAGGTTTTACCATATCGTAGCAGTGAAGTGAGGAAGCCATGACACAAGAGGAACAAAGCGTAAAAATCTCAAGTCACAAACATATAAGGTGCGTCAATCAGAATATACTTAGCGAACATATGATCGTCGTCGTAGCAAGCAACATTTCGTTTATAATATGTGATCGTCGTCGTAAATAGGGTAAGATGTCTTTGGATAATTCATATAACGCGGAGAGTGTTATTGGAGACACATTTTAGCTTTCATTGTTTCAAGTGGTGGAATTAATATTGGCACTTTACATTGACTAATAGAATGGATGTACTTCAGACAGAGTAATCCTTAAATCGATATTTATTATCTCTTGAAGTGTACCAGATAACAGAGACGCAAACTTTGGACGTTTCTAAAGTAATTAACAAACGATGGAAAGACACGAGGAAAAAGACTGTAATTTGGAAATAAGGTTTTTCAGGATCAGTAGTCCTATGATATTTATGTGCTGTTTTGTTGTGTAGAAATTGTCCCTGACATTTAGATATTCAAGATAGCATTCATGTCTACTGTACGAAACTCTGTGGTTGTCTGACAACATTAAGGTAGTAGGAGTCTGTACTAGTGGAATTTAGGGCACAAATTAGCCACTGAGTTACTGATATAATCTTTTTGAGTAGACGGAGTCATTCGAAGGAAGTCAGACGCTTTGGTACTTCAAAGATCTGATTTTCTTCACGTGGAATCAAAACAGATGTGGCCCTTCTCTCTGCCCGTCTGTAAAATTCTTGTTACTTGAGACAGACTGCAGCGTTTATAGTGGTCGTTGTTTACGTCACTTGGTGGGGAGAGCGGCAGAGGATGTAACAAAGATGAAGGTGAGAGGAGGGGGCTAAATCCTGAAGCTGGATTCCTTTTCTCTCTTCCCATGATGCATCACACTGTGTAAAAAACAGGGCGACCGGTGAATGGCAGGTAAGCTGGTAGGCCTACGGTTGATGATTAGTGACTATGAAAAATGTGGCCCAAACTTACAGCGGATAGAAACGGACTAAAAAAAGATATGCATTAGGGACATACATGCGGGCGAGGAAGCGGATCTGACGTGAAGAGATGTAATTAATGGATTCTTCCTTTCAAAGTTGGCGGTTCATTAGAGTCCGTCGAGGTTGTGATTTCTAAATTTGAATAACTAAAACAGGGGTACGTAAAATATACGTGCTTTACGTAATAACAACGTCACTATTTGGCGTAGTAATTCCTAACTGCTGGTCCGCGGACCGGTTTCGACCAAAAATGTTACAGGTCTGTGTTTACCTTCAGATAAATGACGAGATGGGTTAAAATAGACTTCGTCAGTTTCCTGCAATGTTCTTTCCGATTCATACTTCACAGTAATCAGTCTCGTCAGTTTCCTGCAATGTCCTTTCCGATTCATACTTCACAGTAATCATACTCGAAATCATTCGACGCTGCATAACGCTGGCAGATGAAACGTTCAGAAATAATCGTAAACCGATCGATGTTATATGGACCAGCAGTTTGAGAATCACTCGGGCACTTGTCAGCATTTGGTGCACGGGTTACGTCAGTCTGAAACGTAAATGTGTCCTTTGGACCAACATAGTGTTTTAGAAGTATTTTATCGTGAGGAAAAGATAGAATGTTACGAATTGTAGTGTTTGGCGCAAAAAAGGCGTAACTTCAACTTGCTGGTTTCCCCCACGTTCTACTAACTACTCTCCGCTATTTCAAATTGCAAAGTAAGTGGGGGTACCTCAGTTGGTAGAACTGGATCCACCGATTATGGCCGCTGACCTTGCAGGGAGTGCCCAGTATGCGGACCACTCAATGAAGGAAGGAAGGAAGGAAGGAAGGAAGGAAGGAAGGAAGGAAGGAAGGAAGGAAGGAAGGAAGGAAGGAAGGAAGGAAGGAAGGAAGGAAGGAAGGAGTTTTCGTCGGTCAGTACAGTCTGTGTCAGTGGAGCAGTCTAGAAGCCTGATAAATGTTGTCTTGTGACTGTGCTGTGTTAACAACGTGACACCTGTTCGTTGCAATCTCCTTTCTATTCATTGATAACGCCTCGTATGACAACACTCAGACAGACAAACCACCGACGTCTTAA